AAAAAAAATTACAAGGCCGAACGTTCTCAGTTTGAATGAGTCGGATACATACAAGGGAAATGCCTTGGATAAAAATGGGAACTTGCAATTCGGCGCAGCGAATCTTGGGTTTTCAGATACTCCAGAACATCTACAGCCTGTATGGTGCATTTATACTTATTTCTTTCTGGACCATACCACGACTGCGTTTCAAAATCGAGCATTTCGATATCGTTGTGTATCGTTCTCCCATCGAAACCGCCAATTATCGTAGGACGTCCTGCTAGAACCACAGCGCCCGCATCGGATCTGTAAATGAATTCCTTCTATTCTTCGCAAAAGGCAAGCCGAATTGGAATCGCACTACCTTTGCTTTGCCATGAATGGGAGATGATACCAGTGGTTTTTCTCAATATGAAGGATCTCAGCGGAGTTCAGTCGTCGGTGGCCGTTGTACCTGAAATTAGAGGGATGGTGTGAGAACGAGAACGCTCTCTTTCTAGGCACCCCCTCTATTCATCGCCTTTTGTATTCAGCTGTTCCCACATTCGGCTGAAACCCCAAACGAATTTCGTGCGGATCTGGAATACCGAAACGTTGGTCATTCCGGGAAATGAGTATTGTCCTCTTCACTGCCTCATAGACGCTCCCCTTGAGGTTCTCGTTTTCTTTCTTCAAATCCTGGAGCTGACGATTATTACAGTAACCTTAGGACTTCTTAACACTTGCGGGTCTTCCCAATACTCTTTTCCCATTTCACTCTCAGATTTTCAGGACGCATAACGTGATGAGCAGTAAGAAGCGCGGTGCTCGGTAACCTCAAGGGTTGGGTCACATCTGAGCGGTTTGCTCACATTTCAGTCTTTTTTGGAATCTTGGGTAGTAAGCGACAATCAACAACACACCAAGTTCGAAAGAAATTCTTTATTCTTGTTTTCGCCCATACATCTTGTAATCAGATCACGAAAAACTCACCCGCCCATGGCAACGACATGGTAAGTCCCAATTGGATCGACAAATGGAGTGGCAGCTACGTAACATCGTCTGTCGTGCATATTCGTTATCTCCTCCCATATCTGAATGAAATTATCCATTCATAGGGGTACGGTCAGAATGGTACTACTTTACTTCAACCTTTTTATTGAGATCAAATGACTTGGCATGTTGAAAGTATTCTCGTCCATTGAATCCACCAAAGATTGTCAGATTTTCGGCACATAGCACGGCTCCATGATAGGCTCGTGGAATCTCTCTTAATGCCCCCTTTGTTTTTCCTGTCCTTTTAATGAAGCTGAGCACTTCTGAGGGTTATTACCCTACCTGACCGAAGCATCCGGAGTCACCCATGACTGGGCTCTGGGGTTGAAAACTTCCACAATGTCTGACGGGCCACCTGTACTCCAACCACCTGCAAACAAAAGGTAAGACTCTATGGCATGCCTGGCAATTCTAAAAAATCTCGACCTATGGCAACAATAACTTCTCGTGGTACCCGATCCCGTACGACTGCCGCTACTCGTCCATCCGTTCCACGCCGCTTGAGATTTTCAGACTTCAACCGCATCATTCGTTCGTTATTTTTTGGATTTTTCTAAAACTGCTTCGTTCCAAATGTATGAGGGCACCGGTTCAGATTTCATAGAGTTGGCTATACCGCTATCCAATTGTTTATCAATGGTTCTTCTTCTTTGCATTGGATGTCCAGGCGATCGTCTGCCAATGCGGTCAGGATTTCGGTTTCTGTCATTCTCTCATAATCGCCGTTGTTCAGATGCTGAAATGAGCCGTTGCTCCCTTTTTTGCCTGTTTTCAAAAAATCATTTTCTTTTCAGAGATTTGGTTTTCGAAGGAAGGGGTTTCAATCGCAGTACGACCTGAATTTACGGCTCTGTTAGAGTGGGTTATGAACAATAACAGAGTTGTATGGTGCCGATCTGCTTTGCATAGCGAGTATCATGCAGGTGGACACAGCAGGCGAACGAACACAATGTTCTTGGAAAGCAGATCGAACCTTATGCCCCTTTTACGCTGAACGGAACGAGTACCTCTAAATGCTATGACTACATGTGCCTCAGTCGAGAAACCAACATGATGAACAACGTAGCTCTTCAGAGAAGAGGAAAGAAACGCGCAGGGCTGAGAGCATTTAAGAATATCGAGGGAGTAGCGAAGGGGACAAAGAACATCCGCTCAGCATTATCTTCTCGGCAGTGGTGTCCATACTGCTTTGAAGTACACCTCGGAAACCCGACTTCTTGAAAGAAGGATGAACATGCTGTCAACGTCATTCAACGCGTTTCGAAAGGACGATCCTAAGAGCTCCCCTATACACTTAAGTGCAGATAGGAATCCGGAGTTCAGTGCTCCGTCAACGAACGAAGATTAGGGACACCTTTGCTCAAGACAAGGAGTCGAAGATCGCTTGGGACGGACAAGTTATGCGATATTGTTATGACCTTTGGACTAGGGGTTATCGACTGAATCCCCCGGGACATCAAACGAACGCCAGGGTGATAGCCAGCCGATGGTAAGACTTTTTCTTGAAAGTTCTGGACGAAGGGATTGCTTCGCTCGAATGAGGATGATCACTGGCATACATTGGTGCGCTACAAGGAGACGTTACTGGCACCCGCTCGAGTAGATGGATAATCAGTGAGAAGGCATGTCATCCAGGTGGTTATCGTTAACCACTAGTAAAAACCTCAATAGAATAGATGCAAATTGTACTCTTATTCCCGAAATAGAAATGCAGCTTTTCACGTCGTGGGTGATGGGTGTGACCGCTCTTCGATCGGAACGAGCAGTAGTGGTAACTAAGAGTTTTGGAACAAATCTTATCCACGAATTAGGTAAGACCAATTTTGAGTAAACATCAAAATGTGATCAAAATTTAAGTGTTGTTCATTTCATCGGTTGGCGCTCCTTGTGATCATCTTGTCAATGCTGTGGATATGATTGTGTAGAGATCTATTTGATTCCAAGGCATCTTCATGACTCCTATTCGATATAGTCATGGAAGGATATGAGGAATCTGTGAGGAGAATACACGGAGGCTCCAAATGCAAAACGATCAGGTCAATTTGGTCAACATTTTTTTGTTATGGAACATGCTGTGAGTTGTTTATAAACAAAGTTGCTGGGATGGTTTTATCGTAGTAGAGCAGGAAATGGGGAAGATTTGTGGGAAGCAATTAGGGATCACGGTTTTTAAAGATTGCTTCTCCAAAAGCACTACGACCTGTCGGCTCACTTCCTCCCTTAGAAATGAAGCTTGAGGTTGCCCCCAGTCACTCCCACCACCAACGTTTCGATCGTTTCACTAGAAGGTCAGCGTGAAGCTNGAGGAATCTGTGAGGAGAATACACGGAGGCTCCAAATGCAAAACGATCAAGTCAATTTGGTCAACATTTTTTTTGTTATGGAACATGCTGTGAGTTGTTTATAAACAAAGTTGCTGGGATGGTTTTATCGTAGTAGAGCAGGAAATGGGGAAGATTTGTGGGAAGCAATTAGGGATCACGGTTTTTAAAGATTGCTTCTCCAGAAGCACTACGACCTGTCGGCTCACTTCCTCCCTTAGAAATGAAGTTTGAGGTTGCCCCCAGTCACTCCGACCACCAACGTTTCGATCGTTTCACTAGAAGGTCAGCGTGAAGCTATCAGTATCTTCTATCTTCTGGGACGGACAATGATGTAGGAAGCACTGGAGTGGGTATGGAGGCTTCAAGCAGCCGCGGTTTTTTAAGCCGAGAACTGACCAATCTAAATTCTTTAATGATACTGGTCCAGAGCCTTTCTGACAGTACGGCACTCCGTATCAGAGATTTTCGGTAAGCAGCCAGTCGATTTGATGGATGTACACAGGAGACGACCGTGTTTATCAATTCCTCCATAAGTGTACTCATTTGCAGAAACGATGCGGTTACCATCAGCTGAAAAGAAGATCTCGAATGGTTGTGGGTGATTTGAAATGAAAATGGGAATCAGATGGTACACCGACATTCATTGCAGCTTCTGCTGAGAACTTTGGTGTCGTGCCATTGTACATATGAGCAGTTAGTGAAAGACACGCCCGGAAATCGGACGAGTTTACGCAAGTCAATCTGTAAGCAAATTTAACAGTAGCGGGTCGTATAACAGTAATGCTAGACATTTGTATTTGTACCGATGTAATTTACTCTACCGTAACCAAGGAAAGGAGTTTGTAGGCGACTATGGTACCCACGAGATGACTTGTGACAGTGCTCTCTTACAGTGAAGTCAACCAGCAGCTTATGGGACGTTGGCAAAACGTTGACGTTGGTACATATTCACTTCGCAAACTGAGATTTGGGGTTGCCGGACTGCTCAGTTTCTATAAAGAAGTCAAGCGGATGGAGAACGCGCCATGTCTTTGAAGTATTCCACTTAGAGGTAGTTCTTGTGAACCACTGGTCCAAGCGGTTAGACAGTTCATCCTTCTGTTCGTTGCTTCGTTCGCTTCCCATTCCGGTGAAGGGAAAGACCCGTACTTCATTGCCACTCTTATTTTTGCCCTATGCTGTCCACCCAAAGCGACCAGTCTACATCATCGATTCTTTCGAAAGGATTCATTGTTTTAGGACGTTAAAGAATCTTTATGTCATTCTTTTCTTCGAATACTGCCGAGATATTATACTTTCAGGCTGGTAATGAAACTGAAATGAACTGATATAATTAGTTCCGTTTTTTGGGCGAGTTACCTCACTCGGCTGGACTTGGATTCTAAGTAGGAACCGTGAAACAGTGCGCGGAAGAAGAGCGATTCAGACGCTAACCGACAACGGCTTAGTAAAAACTGAAAATTTGTGTTGAGCTCTCAGCATCAGCCTGGAAACAGTCTATGGTGGAAACCGTTCCGAAACGTTACCGACCAAACCTCCATCGCTAGTTTCAATGATGACTTCGTCCTTCGTAGAGGTTATTGAGTTGGATGGTCCTGGTTCTTGTTCTGGTAAAGCAGGAGCTTTGCATTGTGGATCGAGGTCGAGCGAGAGCGTAGGCGTGCAGTCTGGTCTGCCAATCGTTATCGAACCTCCATTCTCTTGCTCACCGACCATCTATTGCCGAGAAGGATACTGAAATGGGTTTTGTCATTGCCTTCGCTTATATGCGATCGCGAAGCGTTGGATTATCCCATTAGATCTCTAGAGAGTCATGCGCCAATCATTCAGTCGCTCGCTCTGAGCAAGACGAGCTGGTGGGCCGGCCTTAGAGACACACTTGCGATAGAAATGGTTTTGATGTTTTTCTTATTAGGATGGGTACCTGGCTTTCGAAAAGGCGACATGTGACCATAGCGCCTCTAGAAGCGGTCTAAACAGGGTGCAATAAGTCCTTAAAACCCGTTTTGAATGTACTTCCTACAAGGAGTTTCAACAAAATGCCCGGCAAGAGCCTTTTGAAGGGTGCGCGGAGAGAGTAATTTCGTGGAACATATCAATGTGAAGTACGTCTGCTGTAAAGGTAATGTTATCAGTCCAATGTCTCAGACGGATTGAAAACTCGTCCAAACGCCCGCTTTCGTCGGCAATCTCGTATGATCCACTAGTTTGAAAATGTCGATACATTTCGGGATTTCTGCGAGTATTCTCGTTCACTTGACGAATCATTCTGCCCTAACATTTTGGCCTGTCAAGCCAAACGGTATACAAAACTATCGCCATCTATATTTTCGATGGCTCTGATCTCCTTTGATGACTCATTCTTCTTCCTCTTATTGAGCTATTACCCACTTGTCAGCTATCGTGAATATCTAGAAAAAACTATTTTCTCTTCACTGGATGATGACATTACCGAATGTCAGTCCTGCTCCGACCTCTCGGAACTACTTGCCCAAGTGATCTTTTATTCCCTTTTTAGCCCTACTCTGTGGTAGAAATCGTTGGCTATCCCACCTGAACTGGGAATACAGTCGAAATACTGCAACTCAGATTACAGTCATGCTATCCTACGTTTGTTCTGCTTCAAGATGACCGAATCCTGCGCCGCTACTGTCTTATGGGTTAATCCATAGTGATAGCGACAATATTTGAGAAACATTAGCAATCTTTGGCCTGTGATTGCTCTCCTTTTCAATTGCCCATAGAAGGGGGAGCTGTATGAGAATGAGATTGGATTTTCCAGGATCTGGTCATAGATGTTAGAGGAATGAATTGAGCCCCTATTTCGGGGTCCATGTGATTTGCTAAGCCCAGCAACTTCAAAGCTGTTCAGAACACGTGCTTTAGCTGTAAAAATATCATTCCCTCCCCAACACATAGGGCTCTCCCTCTCCCCCTTTATGGCCAGGAACACGATAACTTCGGTGATTCCTACTTTTTCGCTCATTCCTTCCCATACATACGGTAATATTTTTTATATTCTGTTGTATTAAGTGTCACGAACTACATGCGCTTTCTGTTAAATGTTGTGCAGTTTGCGTTTTTTTCGATTTGGGAGAGCCATTCCCTTCACAGCTTTTTAACTTTCTTCCTTGTTTTACCGCTAATATAAGACAGCCCTAATCATCCTCGTAATGGCTACTTATAAG